ATGCTATTTCTATTCTCATTACCAGGATAGATTAATGGCGCAACCAAAATTCAGCAAACGATCAAAACTTAAGAGTTAAGCTAGGCTAATATTAGCAAACTATATTATTACAAAAATATCATTCAGGTAACTTTTAATTAGTACATGGGCTAGTACTTTATTAGTGAAAATTTTGAGTAATTTTAGACAAAATTTATGAATTTTGAACTATTCCGATGCTAAACTTTGGCAACTTTGATGAATTTTGGTTATGCCAATAATCTATTACATTATCTGCATATTTGAACCAATATATAATTTTGGTTCTTTGTTCTTCTGGGTGTGGAAGGGGTTAATGCAGACCAATGAAAAACAAAGTAAAGAGACCCAAAATAATCAGATACTTACTGATCGATCTTCATATGATATCTCAAATTCACATAGCATATTCATATGCCTATTTCTGTATTTCAGGTTATTAATTATAATTTCCATAGCGATAACATCTGGATAGCCCAGTGACTCGTAGTAATATATCGTTCGTAACCTCATTCACAAATGAGTCAAAGACTTCAAGATCTGATCGTAATTTGAATCAAACTATGCTTTAATGCAAATATTGGTTAATAATCATTGTAAAGAATGAGATTTAGAATGTCCCAATAATGCATTTGAAGAAATTTCCATGATCACCAACATAGTCCGGAGGTGCTAATCTAAAAAAGTAAATTAATTAAAATCATAGTCGAGGATAAATAATGAGTAATCAATCTAAAAGTAAGTTAATGCATGTGAATACATATTCCAAATTTCAAAAGTAGCTTCAATTTCATAAGGATAGAGGATTAAAAAGCAAAAATTAAATTCGCAAAATTATATGCTTGAATAAAGAGCTCTCATGTGTTAATGAATTATGTTTCTTGTTAACAATTAAAATAGAATAATAATAAAAAGGAAAGTCATATGAAAAAACCTGTAAATAGAGTTGAATAATACAGATAATTAGTTAGGATGTAAAAAGAACAAGAATGAGAATGTTTTTTTTTTTTTTTTTTTAGAAAAAAGTCATTCATTTCCAAATTTCATCAGAACCTTTGTAAAATATAAAAAAAGATCATTAGGAAAATTAAATAAAAATCCAAATTGCAATATTACTTTTTAAATATTGACAATACGAATAATCTAATTGTATTGTTTGATCATTATGAGTCAAACATTTCTTTTAAGCCCAAAATTTAATAAAAAACTTATTTATAAAAATCCAAAAACTAAATATGAAAATTTTACCAATACTTATGTATATCACTATGGTTGAAAATAAAAAACCAAATCCTGATTGGTCAATAGTCTGTAAAATGGCAGCAGAAGAGTGGCAAAATGTTAGAAAACAAAATGAAGTTAATATTAACAAAGTAATTATCCAATATCTAAACACGCCTCTAAATCTTTAAGGTGTTTTTTGTCCTATGATGCCTCAATCATAAACTTCTACAGATAGTAATTCTTCACCTACAATTGCAATTTCCAATACAATTTCTACTACTCAATTACCTGAAAATAATATAGAGGAAATTCACTCTAATGCTATAGCACAAAAAAAAGCGATTGAATGTAAACAATTAGCAGAAAAAGAGCTAATTGAACTTGAATTTTCATATAATATTTCACCTAATATTTAACTTCGTAGAGAATTGTTAGTAAAAATGAACAAACTTCGGGATGAGATTAAAGCTCAAACACAAAAAATTAATAAATTAAAAAGAAATGCAATATATCAGTCTAAATGTAAAGACAAAAAACGCAAAACATTAGAAGAACAAAACGAAGTAGTCAGATATGACCAACAGGTAGACCTTCATTGTTAATACAACATACTGATTTGCTTTATAATATTCATGATTCAGTTGAATATGGAGCAGCTGATATACGTAGGCGAAAAGAAGCAATAAAAGTTAGAATTGTAAATCATCTTCGCCAGAATCTTGAGGAAAATTACAATATATATATATGCAGGTCTTCTCTAAATAATTATCTTTTGCCTCAGTGATCAAATTCAATTACTGCAAAAGCACATCATCACCCTGCTTGGGTTGCTGTTGCTGGGGTTTCACGTGATGAAACGAAAGAACATCAGGACGAGCACTATTGCCTGGCTTCTGTCAAAGAAGCAAAGCAATTTGCTAAAACTTTTGCAAATATGTCAATTATAATATCTCAGGATAATAAATCTAAAATTGGTCTTGGTGTACCTGCTGTGGGTAAAACTTTTCGTACTTTGCAATCAATTGCTGAGCCAGTTCGAGTATTAGATTATGATTTTCCCTGTGGAAATAATCAAAAGTTAGTACCATCAGTTTATCTTATCATTCAGCCAGATAAATCAAATGACGATCTTCGCTCTGGACAATTAGCAATATTTGTTCGTCCTCAATGGTCATTAGGCACATCATCTGCAACACATATAGAAGATCTTTCTTTTCTCGTATCAAATGTGCAGTATACTGAAGCTTTAACAATAGATAGTAGTGCAAAACCAATTTGGGTACTGTTAGTTGATGGTGGACCCAACGAGAATCCTAAACATTTAAAAAACATATTTTCATACTGCAGGTTATTTAAAAAATTTAACTTAGACTTCCTTACTGTGCGCACGCATGCCCCTGGACAATCAAAATATAATCCAGTTGAGAGAGCCATGGCCACGCTTTCAGGAAAGCTTGCTGGAATAACACTTCTGATTTATTATTTTGGTAGCCATTTAGACAGCCAAGAAAAAGTTGTTGATTCAGAATTAGCAGCACAAAATTTTTGTTATGCGGGTGAAGCTTTATGTGAAATATGGTGTTGCGATTCTATTTTTGGGAAAAAGGTTGAAGCAACCTACATCGATAAAACCACTGATCCATTTGTTGAACTTGAATTTATTGGTGAAGAACAAGAAAAAAAAGGAAAAGAAGTTGAAAATATTATAGTGCCCTGGTCCTGAATAGAAAAATATTGCAACCTGTGTCAATATGCACTTGATATAAAATGATGTGATAATCTTGAATGTTGTGACCCTATAAGAGCCGAAGAAGCTATGAATTTTCTTATAGCCAGTAATGGCTTTCTTTCTCCCGTTATTAAGGCACGAGATGGCCACTACATAAATCTCATTCACCTCCTTCAGTACTTTGACCAATTCAAAATACCAGGATATGATTTTCACTGTCTTTCTCTCGATAAAGAAACATATTCTCGACTCTGCTGCTCAGTTTGCGGTAAATATTATCTTACTCTTACCTATTTGACAAAGCACAAACGTCTGCAGCATCCTTCTGCTCGTGAAAGGCCCCAAAAAGAAGTTTCAAAAACTCAAGCAACAAATTCCACAGTATTTGACAATTTTATGATGTTGCTATTACAAAAGAGTACTCAAATGCTTACCTATATTGAGGTTCCACTCAGAGAATATATTTCAGATACAGAATAAAATTCAGCGTAAAATATTCATTAATTTTCATATACAGTTCATCTTCATTGTAGCAAACCCACTAAAACAGAATAGAATAATTCTCTAATAATGCTATATCAGATATTCAGCCTAGTCAATCCGCTATAGCGAGAGTGAACTGTATATTGCTAGAATTAAATAAACATATATCAGTTTAGTGAAATATTACTCCTTTGATATAATAAGTGCTTAAATAAAGAGATATATATAAAATCAAAGCTTAGCTTTTTTGTAATTACTCTTGACCAATATCTTGCTAGTTTACTATTGCTATGGTTATCGGAATTATGTTTTGTCTTTTTACTATAATTATCAGAAATAGAAATCATTATTTCTGCTGCTTATTTCTTATATCAAAGATCGAATTTTGTACTCGCGAGATCTAGTTAAGATTTTTTTTCTTTCATTCTGTTCTAATAGCGAATGATATTTGATTGGGTAGTTGTAAATACGATTTTGTGCTGATTGCGTAACAGCATTTGAAGTTGTAAATCCGAGTTTGTGCTGATGGTGTGACGATATTTGATTAGCTAGTTGTAAATTTCTATTACTAACATAAGACATTGGCGATACCCCCTCCCCCCCTATGAATATTACATAATATTTGTCACGCCCCTTATAATAACGAATATTTTGCCTACAAAAAAAAAAGGTAATGAGTACTTCCGGTAAAGAAATCGAAAACACGAACTTCACACAAGACCTCTTGCAGCAAATATCCAGTTTCCCACAACTATGTCCTGAACCAACAGATGTCATTGTAATAAATTCAAGCCTTACACCTAACCAAAAACACACTTTGCTTTTTAATGTTCAACGACTATTCGAAGTGCCGATGAACGAATTTGATATGAAATGGTGGCCTTTGGTCACAAACGTTTGGGTAAAATTTAGTTCTAAGAACCATGTTAATGAAAATTATTGGAAAACCTTTGTATACCACTTTAATAAACATTTAAAATCAAGCACGCGCAAAGAGGATGTTCCAAGTGAGAAATGGCGAAAAACGAAGGTTCGAGAGGCAGGTTTATATTTCGCAAAAATAAAAGTATCATGGTTTTTTACCACCCAGAAAGTGCTTGTTGAACGTTTTCAAAATTCTCTTAATCATGAACATGAACTAGAAGATAGTGAAAAATAAAACGCTCCCAAGCTGTTCAGGTTTTGGTAGAGAAGAAAGCAGTTAAGAATTATTCTGCACCTGCAATAGTTAGTGCGGTTAAAGAATATGCAAATGAAAAGCTGGATCTCAGCATGAGTGTAAAGGAATTAAGGCGGACAGAAGTCGCCAATATAAAATATAAGGTTCGTGGTCCTCAAAATACCTATTTAACTAGTGCTTCTAAACTAGCACAGGATATTCGGGATACAACTTCTTTTTTAGAAAAAGAGGGCTATCAAATCGAATTGTATAGAATTCATTACCAATTTACCTGCGGCTTCGTTTTTGCATATCCAAAGCAACTTAAAAAGCTTCAAAGATATAGATGGTTAACGCTAATAGACTCCACGCATAAAACGAATAAATATGACTAGCATTTGTTTACGTTGTATATTCAGGACGGATATGGTTGTTGGGATGTCGGTGGGCATTTTTTCGTTAGTAACAAAGATAGTGAGACTGTTGCAGAGGCATTGAGGATAATGCGGAGATTTTGTAGCTCTTGGAAACCTCGGTACTTTCTATTAGACCAAAGCAGTGTAGAAGCTAGAAGTATCATGGTGATTTTCCCAGGTCTTGAAAAAGGTGAACAGAAATGTGAAGTTATTTTTTGCACCGTACACGTTATGCGAACCTGGATGAATAAAATCTATGAAACAAAAACTCGGAATAAGATGATTCAGGCTATGCATAAACGAACAAAAATTGGTTGTGAATTGTTTATCCAAAAATCGATTAACGAATATACCTTCTCCTCCTATTAAAAAATACATCACAAAGAATTATTTGAAAAATTCTCACTAGTGGGCACTTTGGGCCTGCCAACATTCTCTTCTACTTTTGCAAGTAACATCGACAAACGCTTTAGAATCATATCATAGCGAGTTAAAGAGAACACTTACCCCTTACTATGGTTTAATTGGAGCATGTGACAAGATCGTTGCACTTGACTTAAAAAAGCATTCAAACTCGGATTATGTTGCTTTTGAATTTCGAGTGAAAAAAATTTCTGCTTCTAATATTGATGATGATACCCTAAAAGAAATTCACAAGTTTCTTTTTTCAATTCAAAAATTAATAGTTGGTGAAATTTTTGCTGCTGATAATAGAATGGAAAAGGGGAAGGAATTGCCCAATTTAATGTTAATTGAGTGCCACTGCCTTTTTTTTCACAAGTACATGCTTCCCTGTAAACATATTTTTTATGAACAAAAATATAGTCCCAAAAAATTGCTAACGATTGATGCTTGGAAGCAATTCTAATGACTGTTTGATGAAGGTGGATTCAAAATTTATGAATGCAGTGAGTTAGTAAATTTTGAATCATTTGAAAAAGATGAAATCGATAAAGCAGCAGAAAAAAAAAAGCTCACCATTAACAAATTAATGGAAAGAATGCGTAACCAGTACTGGAGTATCGAGGAAAATGAGGATGAAATAGAAAAGACTGAATTCATTTAAAGATTGAAAATTTGTTTAGACCCCATTCTAAAATAAATAAATAGAAAAAAAAAAAAATGATTCGAATATTATAAAAAAGCTGCAGAATAAATAAATAAATAATATTAAAAGAATTGAAGAGTGGGTTTGCAACAGTGTATCATACACTTTTTTTTTTTTTTTTTTTTTTACTGACGGCATGATTACCGACAGAATGCAAAATAGCATCACTATTTCATGCACTTTGGTATGATAGGATTAATGATAGTTGGGTAGGTGTTGCACCAAAAGATCATGTGATAAATTATCAAAAAAAAGACCATTAAAGCAAATTTAGTGTTAACAGAATCTCAAATAAAATAAATAAATGAAATTTTGCACCTTTCTATTAGATTTTTAAATTTCGATAGGCAATTTCAGCTTATCATATGACTGACATGTCTCTGGATGTCTTTAAATTAGATTAGCCAATGACTGCCGGATCACGTAATGGCACCCTGCTTTAACGGTTCCCCAAATGCGGGTATCAGGGTTGTTGGAAACCTAATAAGGGCAGAAGTAGATAATCGCAGGGGTTTAATGGT